TGTCTGTCTGTCTGTCTGTCCCCTCGGTGTTGTCAGGATCCCCATCCTCAGAGCAGGGCGTGGCACGGGAAGCAGGCACAGCTTGGACTGTCCTTGTCCCCTGGCTGCTCTTTCACCTCCTATCCTCACATTGTTAAATTAAAGGGGGAAAAAAAAGCCAAAACAACCTACACACTAACAGAAAACAAAACATTTCACAGCTGGGAAGGGGTGCTGGAGCAGGGTGAGACGCCTGTGTCCTCCAGGCACCACCTCCCTGCTCTGAGAGGCCCCTGCAGCACCTGCCCGACCTGTCCTGCTCTAATTTCACATTTCCCTGCCAGTCCTGCAGCACTGAAGCTCATGAGAGAAACCTCATCACCCTGAGCTGGGTGGGAGCTCACAGGCCTAAGCACCTGCACTCGCTGCTCCTATTCTCACTAACTCTGAATGCTCAAAAAATTATGTTGCCAAATCATTTTTTAACTAGTTTATTGAAATTAAAAAAAGACTTATAAAACTGAAGAGGAACGCTTAAGAGAACTTTACAGAAAGCAACAACTTGCTAACAAACAGATTAGGCAGTCAATTGGAATTGGACAGTTTGCAATCCTATAACACACATGTGGACTCCTCAGTCTCCTCTTGCCACGTACTTTAGAACCACCCCAAAAAGAATCCTATAAAAATTGCTTCAAAGCCCCTTTTGCATTGCAATAGTGCAGCAAACCACAAGTAAACAATCTCCTGTTAACCTGTTATTTCAAATATAGACTGAAAAGGCAACAGGCAATTTTGTGCAATTCCATTTTAACAAACTTTGAAGTTGAAATATCAAATCTACACAGTGCTGTCCCTTCACAGAAGGCAGGGAGCTGCTGGGTCATCATGTAGGGAGGCGTCCCCGGCTCTGTAGGCTGTGGAAGTGGGCTTCCTTCAGGATCTGGTTGATGTGGAAGTAAGGACCTTGGCTTAGTGCAGACTGCTCGTGGAAGGGCTGGGAGGAGACAGGGCTGGATCCTGCAATCCTGGGGTTGAGGCTGGACTCTGCTCTGTCGGGGCTGTTGATGCTGCTGCTGCTACAGCTGCTGCTGCTGCTGCTGCCGCTGTCGCTGCTGGAGGACTGGGACACACAGAGGGTGAACAGCACCATCAGACACTTCCTCCTCACCCCACAGGCCTTTAGGACAAACCCCTCCCTTGCACACTTCCAGCCCCATGGAGTGATTGCATCCACCTTGGCACAGAGAGGTTGTTGTTGCCCACGGCAGTGTCACAGAGCTGAAGGGACAGCCTGCACCCGGGTGCAGTGACCTCCAGGGTGCTGGATTCCAATCCTCCCCAGTTAAAGCCTCAGCTCTGCCCCCAAGCCCACGTTTGCACCAGTGCAGTTTGCTGGGGCGGTCCAAGAATTGGAAAATAAAGAACATTCCCAGAGAGCTGCAGTGCCAGTGCAGGCAGGGCAGGGTTGGCACCGGAGGTTTGAGGGGAGCACCATGCAAAGCTCTTTCCTACAAGGCAACCCCAAAGTGAGATCTGAAGCATCCAAAGCAAGAGCTGGGAGAAACAAATGCACACAAGACCCACTTTAAGTCTTTGAACACCCTACCATCAATACTCTCCTCCCAGTTAAACACTCCATGGCAGAGTTAGCTGGAAGTGTTCCACAGCAATTCCACACCAATTTACTCAACATGACAGTGAAAGAGAACAGGCACTGAGGAATTGCTCATGCAGGAAAAAGAACTCAGCACTGACTGGGATAAGAGGCCAGGGCTCATTTGCCAGCATTTAGGACAACCACATTTCATGGGAATGGCTGGAAGAGCATTTGCCATCATCATAAGGGATTCAAAGACATAAAACACCATTTAAGGGCTGCTCAGGAAAGGTTCCATTAGTTCCAGTTTTAGTTTGTGTGATCTGCTGGTCAGGACCTGCAAATATCTGGGTGAGTCAATCAGCAAGTGGCTACTCTGCCACCCCATAAATGATTCATAAAAGCAGACAGAGAAAGTGACAGCAGCTAAAAAAAATCGATATTTTTGTAAGGATTAAGCCACACAAGTCACAGCTTTGTGGCCACATCAGAAGAGGACAAATTTCACTAAATCCTCAGGGATTTACCAGTCAGCACCACTTCCACAAGGGCTTCACCTGGAGTAAATCAGGAATGGTGCAAGCTGCACCCAGCACTGTGTGTGTGTGTGTAAATCAGGAATGGTGCAAACTGCACCCAGCAGTGTGTGTGTGTAAATCAGGAATAGTGCAAGCTGCAACCAGCACTGTGTGTGTAAATCAGGAATGGTGCAAGCTGCACCCAGCAGTGTGTGTGTGTAAATCAGGAATGGTGCAAACTGCACCCAGCAGTGTGTGTGTAAATCAGGAATAGTGCAAACTGCACCCAGCAGTGTGTGTGTGTAAATCAGGAATAGTGCAAGCTGCACCCAGCAGCATGTCTGGAGTAAATCACACACCCAGCAGTGTGTCAGGAGTAAATCACACACCCAGCAGTGTGTCTGGAGTAACTCACACCCCCAGCAGCGTGTGCAGTGCCCAGGGAGGCACTGTGGATGTTTGGGTAGAACACAACCCTCCCCCCGGCCNTCAGCTCTGCAGGAACCCCAGATCCAAACTGCTCCTGCTGCCTTTCACCTTCTCTTCCCCAAATCCTGATGCTTTCCAGCTTCTCTTCCCCAAATCCTGGGAGCTTCTCTTCCCCAAATCCTGCTGACTTCCAGCTTCTCCTCCCCAAATCCTGCTGCCTTTCACCTTCTCTTTCCCAAATCCTGGTGCTCTCCAGCTTCTCTTCCCCAAATCCTGGCGCCTTCCAACTTCTCCTTCCCAAATCCTGCTGCCTTCCAGCTTCTCCTCCCCAAATCCTGCTGCCTTCCAGCTTCCCCTCCCCAAATCCTGATGCTTTCCAGCTTCTCCTTCCCAAATCCTGCTGCCTTCCAGCTTCTCTTCCCCAAATCCTGCTGCCTTCCAGCTTCTCCTCCCCAAATCCTGGCGCCTTCCAGCTTCTCTTTCCCAAACCCTGCTGCCTTCCAGCTTCTCCTCCCCAAATCCTGCTGCCTTCCAGCTTCCCCTCCCCAAATCCTGCTGCCTTCCAGCTTCCCCTCCCCAAATCCTGGTGCCTTCCACCTTCCCCTCCCCAAATCCTGGTGCCTTCCACCTTCTCTTCCCCAAATCCTGGTGCCTTCCACCTTCTCTTCCCCAAATCCTGCTGACTTCCAGCTTCTCTTCCCCAAATCCTGGTGCCTTCCAGCTTGTCTTTCCCAAATCCTGATGCTTTCCAGCTTCTCTTCCCCAAATCCTGGGACCTTCTCTTCCCCAAATCCTGCTGCCTTCCAGCTTCTCCTTCCCAAATCCTGATGCCTTTCACCTTCTCTTCCCCAAATCCTGCTGACTTCCACCTTCTCTTTCCCAAATCCTGATGCCTTTCACCTTCTCTTCCCCAAATCCTGGCACCTTCCAGCTTCTCCTTCCCAAATCCTGGTGCCTTCCAGCTTCTCTTTCCCAAATCCTGATGCCTTTCACCTTCTCTTCCCCAAATCCTGCTGCCTTTCACCTTCTCTTCCCCAAATCCTGATGCTTTCCAGCTTCTCCTCCCCAAATCCTGCTGCCTTCCAGCTTCTCTTCCCCAAACCCTGCTGCCTTCCAGCTTCTCCTCACCAAATCCAAGCCTCTGTTGGTGCCTTGCAGGTTCTCTTTGGGCTGCTGACTGGGACAGAGAACCAGTACACGAGCAGGGGCGGCGCTCTGAGCTCGCAGGAGCTGCACAACANCCATAAATGAGAAAATGGTGAATGGGAAGATGGGCGATTCCCATAAATCTCATGGTGACAGGGACACTGCAAAACAGCCCAAAATTAACCAGTTGTCAGGGGCTTAGGCCAGGCCCGCCTGTGCTGGGGAAGCAGGTGGGGCATTGAGTCCTTGGCCCTGCAGCCCTCCCTGGGAGGGACCCCGGTGGCACTGAGCCGTGCTGAGGGGCTGCCCTGGCTCAGAGCCCCCTCTCTGCAGGCGCAGGTATCAAGGCCCAGGTGTGTTCCCTGATGGAGCTGCTCAGCACCACGCTGTTCCAGGCCCACGCTCTGTTCTACACCGTGCCCGAGGGGGTGCCCCCGGAGCCAGCCCTGCCCTGTGGGCTGCTCTTCTCCACCCTGGAGAGCAGCACGGGCCAGAACCCCGCAGGTGAGGCCTGCACCTGCCCAGGTGTGCGGGCAGGAGGGCAGGGTGCCCGTGCTGGGCTGAGCCTGGCTGTGCTTGCAGGGAGAGGAGGGCTGCTGGAGGAGGATCTGAAGCTGAGCAGGTGGTTCAAGTACCTGCCCGAGTCTGTGGTGGAATTCCAGCCGGCCCTGCGGACCCTGGCACACCCCATCAGCCAGGAGTACCTCAGGGAGACCCTGCAGCAGTGGATCAACATGTGAGTGGGACAGGGCAGTCCCAGCCTGGCTGCTTCCTCCTCATCCCCTCCTCATCCTCACCCTGACAGAAGCAGCCAGAGGCAGCCCAGCACACCCAGCGCCCTGTGCCAGGGCCTCACCCGCTCACAGGGGTGAAACTTTGCCTGCAGGTGCAGTGAGGACATCAGGACGGGGGTCAGGACGCTGCTGGTGTACGTGAAGAGCATGAAGGGGCTGGCAGGGATCCGTGATGCCGTGTGGGAGCTGCTGTCCAGCGAGTCCGGCAGCCACGGCTGGGAGGCCGTGTGCCAGCGCCTGCTGGGCAGGCCTGTGTCCTTCTGGGAGGAGCTGCTGCAGGAGCTCTTTCTGGACAGGCTGCAGGTGGGTGCTGAGCCCTGGGGAGCCTTGCTGTGCTCCCCCAGGCATTGTCTCACCCAGCTCGCAGTGCGCTCAGGGTGGGTTTCAGTGTCCCATTGAGTTTGGTTTTCTCTCCTGGTTCCGTTGCAGACTCTGACCAAGGAAGGCTTCGACTCCATTTCCAGCAGCTCCAAGCAGCTGCTGGCTGCAGCCTTGCAGGAGTTGGAAGTGAAAGGTGGCAGCGGTGCCCTGAGCAAGCAGATGCAGCTGGAGCACAACGTGTCGCTGTTCCTGTGGTCGGAGAGCCCCGGGGACCTGCCCGGGGACGCG